AGAATCAGTGTTTGCTCCTTGCAATGCTTATCGATGTGCTTTGCATTAGAATAAGTGTTCAGCGCAGTGCATCAAACATTTATTGAGTGCCTACTATGTGGCAGGTGCTAGGGATACAAAAATGCCTGTAACAGGATACCATGCTATCAAAAGGCTTATGAAATGATGGAGAACAAATATTTTGGAGATGTAACTTCCTTTCATAAATGCATTTTGCAAAACCTAATTGTGCATTTTGAAAGAACAGGAATCGTGTCTTTGACTTCTTTTACATATTTTCATAATGGCTAATACAAAATGGAAACTGAATATTATTGTTGACAGGCTAACTGACTTATGGAAAAATTGTTGCTAAGTTCAGGTAAACAGTTCCCGAGGTCTTCAGAGAATATGGATGGAATTAATATGCCTGTTTCTAAGTGTAATTTTGTGATTCCTTTTAACCTCTGTTGTCCTTTGGTGTATCATTTGGACAAATCCTTCAACACATGGAGAAAGAATGACAATTCTTTGAAAAGGTTATTATTATATAAGATTTTCTGTGTGATAAAACCACACCCAATGGGCCTCACCCAGAGGAGCTTATATATGTTATTAGACTCAGGAATGTTAAGTGTGTTAGATTCGGTCCCTGTTGGGCAGTCATATGACGCAAACGGTGACTCTGAAATGAAGCCATAATATATGGTTTAACCTCTTAACAGTTTGTGATGTCATTTTTTATGTGGTAAGAAAAACAAATGCTGTCACATTTTATATTTGAGACTCCCACAAGCCAACATCAAGAGATTAAGTATGCACATTACTAACACACTATCATGAATGCAGCTAGATGTATGCCAGGAAATCAGTGTGACCTGAGACACTCCTCAGTAACTCAGTGTTATAGAATGGAAAGATAAGTCTGCTGATAAGTTATAGCCCTCGTGAGACGCTGACTTTTCCCCTTAGAAGGAGGTAGAGGTAATTTTAAATATTTTGATCTGAATGTTAACTTATATAACTATGTTTATCCCACTCCAGCTAATCTTAATGCTTATAATTTAAAAATCTAGAGGTACAGTAGCTAATGCTAAAGAAAAATCTGTATGTTCATATAAAAGATAAAATTAAGACAGATTAAATTGGGGCAGAGAGTAAGTAAAACTGATGGTTTCCAGTGTTTACTTTCTTGAAATAGGTTTTGAGTCATTTTTGTGAGAGATAAAACTACTTTATGTTTCCTATTTTTATTATGCACATAATTTAACAGTTTGAAGTAGCTGAATCCACGTGTCTCTGTGGATTGGAATATTGTTGAAATAGCTTCACTCAAGCAACAGGACTTTTAACTGCATAATTCAGGTATGTGTATTTTCTTTGAACAAAGTTGGTGACATTCAGCTTGTCAAAAATGACCATGTTTCTTGACTGAACAGTTTTACTTTGCGTTTTGCTTGTCTTAAAGGCTGACAAGTAGGGCATTTCCTGTTAAAGACCAGGAGGAGAATGAAGCAGGATTGAGCCAATTATCAGAAAGTTCCTTTCTTGTTGAACATTTTATAATGTACACGATATACTAACTAGAAATAATTTAGATACATCTTAACTCTGGGTAACAGACTGTGCACCTCCCCCTTCCTCTTGTCTCTTAAGTATTTACTGAAAAGTGTAATTTGTATTGTGGATGTTCTGTATGTATTATTTACATTATTTACTTTTTGATTTCTCTTTATTTGGGAAACTTTGAGGTGATAATGAGGACTATAATTGACTTCATTATATTCTTTAGAAGAAAGAAGAGTTGTTGGCATGTTTTATTAGCTGTTGAAGAATTATATAACTTACGGATTTTTATTTGGAGTTTGCCTAGAAATTTACATGATTAGGCAGTTTCCCTTTCTGTTAGTGAATTCTGTCCATTCATTTAATCAGTCAGTCTTTTTTTTTTTTGAGCACCTATTGTGTTCCTAGGACTTTTGTAGGTACTGGGATAAAGGTCAATAGCATATGTCTGTCCTCAAGGAGCTTGTAGTTTGTCTTACTTGATGGTGAAGTGTCCAAGTCAGCTCACTGAAAGCTGTGAAGGATGGTATGAATGAATCCATTTATTAATTGAATAAATTTTAATTTTATCGAGCATGATGTGCTACCCATTTGGACTGGGTAGGCATTACAGCCATAATGGTGAATTGCTCCTATAAAATGTACAACTTAGTAGGAGAGGGAAAGACATTTTGGTCAATTAATCACATTAATAAAAGTATAATTGCAAATTAGAATAAATTCTCTGAAGGAAAATAATACAAATACATGAGTGCATATAAATAAGGAATCCAACCAAACATGGGAGGACCTCAGTAGATGACTAGACGAGGGGATTGGGAGGGAAGGGGACAGCCCGTACCAAAGTAGTGTTCCTAGGAGTAGCACGCCCATGTCTTAGTAACTAACAGCCAAGAAGGAAGGAATGACTGACCATGCCATATGGTTTTACTAGGACAAGTAAGAAGAGAACTGACCAGTGTTCATTGGACATGACAGCATGGAGGTAGCTGGTGACTGGGGCGGCTTCTATTTTCTGGAGAGTGATGGTGGCTGAATTCTGACTGGAACGGGTTGAGGATTAAATAGGAAGGAAGAAAAGAGGGAGTATAAATAAAACCTTCAAGAATTAGGAGTGGGAAGGAAAAAAGATGTGGGGTGGTGGAAGCAGAGTTGTTAACTTACATGGGTGAGGCTGGGGCATGTTAGAATATTGAAAGATAGCATTGAGTTTACAGGGAGTTGTGCACTATGCAGCAAAAGAAGGGGAGATTTGTAAGTTTTCTTACTAGCTGAAGGCCCGAGGGTACTAGATTCAGGGCACGGTGGAGGCACTGACCTTAGAAAACAGAGAAGGGAGGACAGTTGTGGATATAAGTAGATTTAGTGGAAAAGGTAAAGTAGTAGCTGTTCCCATTCAACTGAATAGGTTTTCTCTGAAAAGTTGGAGCTCTGCATTTCTGTTGAAAGGGAAAGGGGTGAAGGAGGGGCTAGGTGGGGGTTTGGAGAAAGTGGAGAAGCTTTGAAATAATCACTGTAGAAGGTCAATAGTAAGATGAGCGAGTGGACCAGGAGGATTGATGGGTAGTGTTGAGAGCCCATTTGAGGCTGGTAAACATGAGGCTATGGTGACATTTACCTGTCCTGTTCTGTGGCTCCCACTGGCAGGCACGGAGAAAGCAGGGAACAGCAGTTCATTTTGAGTTGAAGTGTGAAGAAAAGACAAAGGTGCAAAGGAGTAGAAGGTATTGGAAAGAGTGTTATTGAAATGATGGGTCCTGGAGGGTGGGAGTGGGGTATTCTGGATGAAAAGGGATAAGAAGGAAAGAGAGGGCTGAAGAAAGGCTTGGGACAGTGTGGGCACTCAGTGGAGTAGAGATGCCACTGAGATCAACAGGTAGACCGAGTCAGCCTCCAAATCATGTGGCCTTATGTTCCAATGAAGCAATTCTTTCAGAGGTCTGACTCATGATGTCAAAACATATCTCCTGACGCCAGTCTCCCACAAAAGGGCATGTGGCCCAGAACAGAGGCTCTGGCAAGACTGGGACCGGGGTGAGATCAAGAGCTATCGGTGACTGGGATCCTCTGATGCTCCATGTGGATTCCTGTGCCTGAGGAAGATGACATTTCTGAGTCCTTGTGTCACAGTGAGGTCATTCAGCTGTTAAGTAAAGACACCTATTTTAAAGCATCCTCCCCGTATGTTATGCAATATCAAGGAAACTTGATCTGCCGTGAATAATGAGAATACTTTCTACCACCTCATTCAGTTATTTCCTAAACTCTCAGTGATGGACATTATTTATAAAGTAGTTTAAAAAGCTATAGATTTTTAAGCAAACCATGCACAACCAATCGAAGCAGATTATTTGCTAACATTTGAGTCTGGTGTCAGACACCAGCAGCTGGAGGTGGACCTCTGGAGTGAAGATGCTCTGCAGAGGTGCCGTCTTCCCATATTCTATAGAACAAATAATGCTTTCCCTCCCCTTCCTGGCCTTCCCCACACCCACTTCATTCTCCAGTAGCTGGAGCACATCTCCAATAAGGGAAGCCGTCATCACCTCATGCCTGGTTTACGCAGCATCTTCTTAGCCCATCTCCCTCCTTTTGAACTTTCTACCCCCTTTTTACCCTATACTTCAATGCCTGTTAATTAAACTCTAAAGTCTTGCTTCCTTCTGTTACCTCATGGTTCAAAGAATAAAAGCTCACTTTTTCCTCACCACATTGAGGTGGGATAAATTCACCTGCCTCTGAAGTATGAGACATTGGACAAGTCACGTAACTTTTCCTGGGCCTTAGATTTTTCACCTGGTTAGAAACAAAAATGTGGCTATTGAACTAGGGGGCCAAGCTCTTTGGGGTTTGGAGAATGTGGTCGGGCTAGAGTTGCCTACCAATCCTGAAATTCTGTTCCAGAGTTCCCCTGCAGGGCCCGGTTCCAGTCCTAGGAGGACAGGACAGCCCTTAAGCCTCAAGATTCGCATCTGTCAAGTTGGGGCGATCTGCACCTATGTTGAGGGTTCTTTGAAGATTTAGTTCACTGCCACCCAGCACATCCCTTCTTTCTTCCAGCCTGGCGCTTGCTCTTCGTTCCCCCACCTCCATCACTCCACCAAGCCCAGCCTTGCCTTTTGCTGCTCAAAGGCCCTAGCCATTTGCAACCCTCCACAGGAACGTTTTCCTGTTTCCAGCCGTGAAACGCCAATTCTAGTTGAAAAACTGACCTAAAACCTTTTAAAAATCTCTAAAAAAATTTGACCTTCAACTTTGAGTTTCTGGGATTCTGAGATCAAAGGAGATTTTTATTTTTATTTTTTTAACTTTTTGGTCTGTTTTTTTTTGTTGTTGTTCACACCTTGGGAGCTCAATAAATATACACATAATGAGTAAGTAGACAAATTCTGAGGAGCAGCTCCTTTACCATATGTAAGAACCACCCTTCCCCCCCACCCTCTCCCCCCCCAATTCTGACACAAACGCTGATGCCAGCACATATACCATTCGTTTCCTATAGGCGCTTCTGCCCTGACGGTGCTTCTCATCAGTAGACACTTTGTGTCTGGTCCGTTTACGCAATTAAAATGGGCAAGATCCACCTCGGTCTAGGTCACTGATGGGCTACAACATTTAAGCACAGCCTTTGGCTTTAGGAATATGTGGATTGAATGAATGGTTGCTAGGGAGTGTCTCTGCGTCTTCATTTTATGCTGGGCTCACTCCAATGCTTGCACGTGGGAACTTCACAAAAGTTATTTCACCAGCGCTGCGCTGAATCCTCTTATCGTACAGAGTTTACTGAAGTGGGGCCAGCTCCCCGCCTCTGCTAGCTTCCCTGCCAAGGTTCCAGAGGGGTGGAGTGGCCTGGAAGACCATTGGAAGAAGGGTGGGGGATTTGCTTTCTTATAAAGATGCTTTGGGAGACTGGCTCTGGAGCGCCAGGTTTTCAGGAAGAAACCAGCCTGGGCCCCAATAGCAAAGAAAAGGGCATGAAACTTGTCTGGTAATGGAGAGAGCCTGAAAGCTCAAGTGTAAGGAGTAAGAGCGCGTCCCACACGAGAGAAAGGGAGGGGGGCGCCGTGGCCTGCCCCCAGAAACCCTTCGGCACAAGAAGACAACAGCGAAGTCAGGCTCATTGAACCCATTTCTTGGGCTACCTAGGCGTGACGCCAGCTCTGGTTCACTGAGTCTCTACTTAGCTGTCGTGGGTCCCCGCTGCTATTGAGCGAAGTCCTCTTTCCTTAGACCTGGTTTACAAAACACATTAACTCCATAGGAGAATCTCTTTGCGCACCCAGGGGACGGGTCCCCATGGACATACTGACACACCGTAACGCTCAGTTCTGCTCCATTGCTTGGGGGCGTGAGTTTCTTAATCGCCCCCTCTGAACGTGCACCAACGCTTCCCCAGTTCCTGTAAGGGCCTTGCTCCGCTCCCGGGGCTCCGAGTTCCAGGCGAAGTGCACAGGGAATGGCCCTGGGGACTTTTTCCGGAGAAGGCGTCCGAGTCCTGGGAAAGCTTTATCCTTCTCAGCTGGCACGCACGCAGGGCAGGCAGGATGGCGTTACAAACGCAAGCAAGGTGTGTAGCAACGGACCCTCCCTTTAAAAAGATTACGTAAATAGAAGTCATCAGGTAGCCCCGCTCCCCTAAACGCGCACCGCGGTCGCTCCCAGGGTGGCTGGGTGTCTGCGCTCCCCGCCTTCCCTGGGCTGACACACGAGGGGAGGAGCAGGAGCCGGAGGGTGTGCTGGGGGGGTGGGGTGGGGGTTGGAGCGCGAACCATCCCGAGCCAAGATAAGCAGCACATTCACAAATAACGCCCCCACCCCGAGCGCACGCGCTCCCATTCAAAGCAGCCGGGCTCCGTGGCCTCAGGACGGCTCAGAGGACGCGGCTGCCCAGCGCAGGCCTGCCCCGCAGGCGCACGCTCCGCACGCGCACGCCGGGAGTCTGTCAGCCCGCGGCCGGCGAGACCTCGCAGCCTGCGCGGGAGGTGGCTACAGCTTCCAAGGAGGGGTCTCGCCCGGGACTCGCCCCCTTCCCGGCTGGGGGACTATGGCACGGCTGGCTGCGCCCTGGCACTGGGCGCTCTTGGTCCGCATCTTCGGCAGCACCTGGTGCCTGCTGTTTGTCGCCGGACAGGTAGGACACTTTGCACGTCTTGCTTCCTTCCTCCTTTTCTAGTCTGCTGCGGCGGAGAGCGCTACAGCTTGGGGCGCGCTCTCTCCGGTGAGGGTCCATCCTTGGAATTGCGCTGCCACCAGAGCTGGGACAGGTGGCGCGGGCTTGGGGCTAAGGCGGCCCCTCGCGGCGAGCTCCGTGCTGGCTGGATCAAATCTGCGTTGAGCCTCAGCTCAGCCACCTGGGGCCCTATCCCGGCTTCCCGCCTGCGCCCGGGTCCTGCCTCCAGCTGGGCAGTCCGGGAGAGGAGGCGGCGGTGCGGCGTTCTCCCAGGAGTCCGCGACCCCTTACCCCTTTGGAATGGTCCTTCTCGGACCCCCCCTCTCTCCTTCGTGGCGGAGGTTCAGCGGCACTGGGGAGGCTCGGGCGCTGGGACACTCCTCCTTACTTCCGTCCTTCCCCTGACTGGTGAACTTCTGACATCGTCACCCTACAGACACCCGCATCCGAGTGTCGGTGGCAGAGCATTTAAGATGTGCAGAGACACTAGCCCAGGTGGTCTCCCTGGTTTGGTGCCTCTGCGGTGGAGAAAAGGTGACTCTCTCTGGCCGGTGCACGAGGAGGACTCCTCACTCACCACGCCCCCTCTGAATGCTCCTAGGGATTTCCTTTGAGCCAAAAGGGGTGAAGGAATTGGGGAATTCTCCTAAGCGGGTGGCTCAGGCCCTGAGGCTGCGCAGAAGAGCCCTGGTAGAGTGTCTAATTCAAAGTCCGCTTGGTTGAGGTTTATTCCTGAAGGACCCTGGAGGGAACTGCTTAGGGAAGGGGACGGGGGTCCGTCAAACCCATGATGCATGCAGTGCCTTTGGCATTCGCGCTTTTCAGAGTCAGGTAACTTTTGATTAAAACTCAGTTTGTACATAATTTAGCCTACATAAATTTGCTGTTCACAGTATTAGTTGGGTAATTCTGGGAAAATGCCCAAATACTCTTGGCCGGAATTATCGCCAGATAGCCTCCCTTTCCTCTGTTTTGCTTATGGAGACTTGTCCAAATCGGGGGATTTCCTTCCCTTGCTTTTACTTAACGTTTGAAACTTGTTTTCAGATCTTTATTTTAATGGTCATTTTGACTGCAGTCGTGCAATTCTAGAGGCTGAGGACCAAGAATGATGGTTTAAGAAGGGTCCAGGGCAGGCTGACCAGCAGGAACTACCCTAATAAGTGACAGACATTTTCAACAGGGAACACCTGCTTAGATTGGAGCATGAAAAACCGTTGCAAAAGCTTGTCTTAATTATCAGCCAGTTTTATTCGCAGTATGCTTCGCTCCATGGCAGGGCTTCTCAGGGGTGGCTGGCTATACTTAGGATTGCCCGTGGGAGCTCTTAAAACTCCCACAGGCAATGGTGCTAGGGCCACACCCCAGCTGGATTGCATCTGAATCTTTGGGAGCGTAGGGTGAGGCTTGGGCATCAGCACTTATAAAGCTCCCAGGTGCTTCCATTCTGCAGCTGGGTTGAAAACCACTGTGCAGAAATATGTTCTTCTAGAAGCATGACCCCGAAAGGAAAGTCAAAGGAAAAAAGTAAAGAGGGCCTAAGAGACAGGCTCAGGAGAACATTTTAACATGGAGCTTCCAGTCCTGGCTCTGTCCCTAACTAGCTGTGTCATTTTGCTCACGGCCCCTAACCTTCCATTTCCTCATCTGTAAAAGGAGCACACTGGCCTATGTTTTTGAAGCTCCTGCCAGCTCCAAAAAAACACCAGGCAGGTTGACATCTAACCAAATCAAGACAGAATGCCTTGTCTTGTTTTTAACTATCCATGGGCCTAGCAATTCTACCTTATCCTTGAGATTTTGGTAAAATATCTGGTCATATCTGAATCCAGCAAAAACGCATAACGTAGTTTTCTTAGACTTGTGGTGCTTTTATGTTTTTGTTTTGTTTTGTTAGTTTATACTTGACCACTCTGCTTTTTTAGACCTACTTTAAGTCATTTGGTGCCTTTTAGATGTGCAGGACAAACGGATTTTCCTAGCGTCACACACCTGTTCCTCTTTGCTGTGCTTCTCAACCAACTTTCTTCTGGATGAAGATGATGAAAGCAGATTTGTGCCTTGTGTGTGTGTTGGAAGTGGTTTATTGTTTAACTCCAAATGGCTTTTCTTGTTCCACTGCAGGGCTGCTCTCCACATGTGAGGAGCCTGACTAAACTTGTTAGGGAAGGAATCGAAAAGAGTTTAAAGTGGTAGAGGGGGTCCGTCTCCTGGCGGAATGCAGGACTTTGCAGTTAACTTTGTCAGGTATTGGTCAGAAGCAGATGATCTTGCAACACTGTTTAACGTCCTCACTTTTTTTTTTTTTCTAAACCACATGGGCATTATATCTAATCAGCAAATTAAACAGACCAGAAACTTGAGGATACTTAATATCAAATCAAGAAGAGATCATTCTATCACCAATTGCCAGTGCCAAATGATTTGAACGTTGTTTGGAATGTGTACATTCTTTAAACAGTTTTTAAATCAAAGCACTCATACATGAAGGCCTGACAGAGTTAGCCAGAGTGAAAGGAGGGTCTGCGTTCAAGAGCTGCTGGCTCCCTAAACTAAATTCCACCTGAGCTTTAGTCTCCACAAGTCCAAGGAACAATTTAAACGCAGGTGAAAATTATTTGGCAGTCCCAGAATTTCTCCTTTCTTCTCACTGAATTTCTTCTTTCAGAGGTTATTCCCTCTTCTTTTGTTCTGGCTGAATTACCATCCTTACTTGCTAGATTCTTTTCTTTCTATGTGCAACCTGAAGGTAGCTCATTCCTTAGGTTCTTATGAAACTGATTATTTTACTGATAATCAATGTCAATTCATCAGCTGAACCAAAATTCAACCCATTGGCCAAATTGATCCCAAGTTAGGAAGTGCATAATAAACAGTGGTTTAATGGTTTAAACCACTAGGGGTTATCACCGACTTAATGATTTCTACAACCTATCTGTAGCAACCCACTGTAAAAATAAACTAGGTTGTAGGAGAGGGCTGTGGCTGTATCAGCACAAATCCACTACTGTTGCTTAAAAATGTCCCTTAGTGGCCACTCATGTTCTTTTGGTGGCGTATCAGTGATAGCTCATTCAAACATTAAGGTAGAATATTTTCATTTACTGTGTATTCTAAATTGTATCTTGTTAGTAATTCAGTAATGAAATGAATAGTTCCAGGATGCTGGAAAGAGTTTGTGCCTTATGGGCATCTGATTTTTAGCGAAAGACTTTGAAGAAATGAAACCTTGCTTGTCTCTTTGTTATCTTGTTGTACGTATGTTCTTGTTCTTGTTTTAGTTTTTAGTTTCATTTTTACCATGATGATAATTCTGCATGGTTCAAAAACATGCTACTAAGGGTTTATAAGGAAACAGCAACTTCTTCCCCTACTTTTTCTCCTAATTTCAGATCCCACAACCCACCTTTTTTTTTTGGTTTTATACTATTTTGTGGCACAATTGACCTACAGTAAACTGCACATATTTAAAGTACAGAGTTTGATAAGTTTTGACATATGTACACCCATGGCACCATCACCGAAGTTTCTTCATTACCCTTTGTAATCCCTGCCTGCCACCTTTTCTTGCACCCAGCATCACCAAACAAACAGTGATCTACATTCTGTCATGCTAAATTAATGCATTTTCTAGAATTTTATGTAAATAGACTCATGCAGTAGGTATACCCCCTTTTTTGATTTGGCTTTTGTTCATTCAGTATAATTATTGGGTTGTTGGAAAAATCATGACATATTTTTTCTGTGTTTTTCGTCGCAAAAATGCGTCATGACTTTTCCGACAAACCAATGTTTTGAAATTATCCATACTGTAGCATGTATCAATTCATTCCTCTTGAATCCTGAGTATTACATTGTATGGATACACTACCGTTTGTGGTCCATCAACATCCACCTATTGATGGACAGTGTGTTTCCAGTTTTGGGCTATTACAAATAAAGTTGCTATGAAAATTTGTGTACAACCTTTGTATGGATATGTGGGTTAATTTGTCTAAGATAAATGCCTAGGAATGGAATGGCTGAATCTTTGGTAGGTATATGTTTAACTTTTTAAAAAACAATCAGTTTTCAGGAGGTTGTACCATTTTATTTTATTGTTTATTTATTGGGATAACATTGGTTAATAACATTGTACTCTCAAGATCTATCCATGTTGTCACAAATGACAATATTTCATCTTTGTTTATGGTTCATTAATATTCCTGTGTGTGTTTGTGTGTGTATCTGTGTCTGTACATCTTTATCCAATCATTCATCAAAGGACACACTTAGGTTGTTTCCATGTCTTGGCTATTGTGAATAGTGCTGCAATGACCACAGGGGTACATGTATCTTTATGAATAAGAATTTTCAAAATTTTGGGATAGATACCCAGAAAAGGAATTGCTGGGTCATATGGTAATTCTATTCTTAATTTTTTGAGGACCTTTCCTACTGTTTTCCATAGTGACTGCACCAATGTACAGTGCCACCAGTAGTGTGTGAGGGTTGCCTTTTCTCGACATCCTCTCCAATACTTTTGTCTTTTGTTAACAGTCATTCTAACAGGTGTGAGTTGCCCATTTTACATTCTTACTAACAGTGTAAGAGAGTTCCAGTGCCTCTGCATCCTTGCCAACACCTCGTGAGGTCAGTCTTTTATTTTAGCCATGCCAATAGGTATAGTAGTAGCTTGTTCTGGGTGATAATTTGAAATTCCCTGATGATTAATGATAATAGCACTTTTTAATGGACTTATTTAGAATCCATATATTTTCTTTGGCAAAAATTTATATTAAAATATTTTGTCCACTTCTTATTGGGTTGTTTGTTTTCTTATTTTTGAATTCTTGAGAATTCTTTATATATTCTGCTTATAAGTCCTTTATGAGAGGCATCATTTGCAAATGTTTTCTCCTAACCTGTGTCTTGCCTTTTCATTTTCTTGACGGTGTCTTGGGATGGGCAAAAGTTTTTCA